CGTACAACAGACCCACGGGTCTAATAACTAGGGTTCAAAATTGGTGAAATGTAACAGACCCGGGTCTTGTATCCGGCATTTTACGGTAGTAAATATTATTTAATTTATATTATTTTATCTATATAAATAGTACAATATATTATTATTGAATTATTAGGAGTAAATCAAGTTCGCTTGCATCTGCTTTTAGAAAAGTAACTTATGCAAGAAAACCAGATTTCTGGCTTCTTGTAGAATCTGCTGGAACTATCTAGAAAATTTTATTTGAAGAAACTTCTGGTGGTCCTTTTGTAAATAATACTGATAAGTTTCATACTGATTAATACAAGCTTTTCCGATTTGGACACGACTCTAAAATAATGATGGTAACAAAGTTGATTTCAGAAAATGCCAAATATTTATTCGATTATAATATATTACAAAAACGACTATGTGACATAAATTTATTTCTTATTCAAGCATATAGTATGTTTAAATTTAATAAAATGATAGTTAATGTAACTATATAAAATTAACTATATCCTAATTTATTCCATGTCGAAAGGTACAAAGCTTAGAGTCTTCATTATGGATCAGCCAGAGCCTCCATTATGCAGAGTTCGTGAGATCTTCGATCTCAAAATTCCTTACAAATCAGTGGATGAAGATTCAGTACTTCAATTTATTCACAGCTTATGGATGATAAGACTAGGTCTAGAAGAATCAGTAAATAAGCTAGAAAATATTGGTAGAGAAATTCAAGTAAAATATCAAGGTCCTTTAAAGAATTTTATTGTACCAGTGCCTAATTTAGAATACTTAACCTTTCTATCTCCTTAGTAATAGACTATTTTTATTATTGCATAGATTTTATATATTGAAATGTTCCATTAGTTATACTGATCAATATGTAATTAGATATTTGGACATTATTTTTGAGCAAAATTTTCGCGTAATTATATGAAACAAAGTAAATGAGCCTTCAAGATTCTTTTTATGCATTATGTAAAGTTTTTTCTTTGAATAAAAAATTTTTTGTACTATACAATGACAGTAGAATTCTTAGTATATTTTTATATGAAACAAAGAAAATAATTAATGTCAAAGTTTACTTTGTTATTGTAAAAGTTCATTTGTACTATCTAATTCTTAGTGTATTTTTTCGTGAATACAATTAGCATACTAATATGAATATGTGTCACTTCTCAATGATCTAAAGATATAAGTCTTCTTATTATCACTATTAAGGTCTATATAAAATTTTTTGACTAATTTATTATTTTTGCAACTTGAGATTAATAAAATATATAAGATTAATTGATGAAACAAAGAAAATAAGTGAATAGATACAGTATATATTAAATAGTAAGAGAAGGTATATGAATATATTAAAAATATAAATAAATATAGCTTAAATATAATTATGAACCAAATAAAAATAATTTATTTGAAATTTATAGATCATCTAATATTACTATGAATTATTTGTCTTCAAATTAATAAGGCTATTTTATTTATTAAAGCATATTAAATTTATTTACAAGATTAGACGAGCCTGCTAATACAAAAATGATAAAGATTTATTTAACAGGTATGTGCTTTCCGGAATTCGAAACTTATATATCTCGGATGGATTTAATCGATCAACCATAGCTAAAATAAATATTCAACTATTATCGATTGATTAGAATAGCTATACTTGCATAACTATAGCCTCATCTATTAATTTAGAGTCCATAGCTATTGCACCTAAACTCTTTATCCCTTTTTAATATACCCACAACGGCTGCATGTTTTACTCATATATGCTTCTGACACAGATGTTATTACAATCTTGTTAAATTCCTCCATTTTAGAAATCAATCGCTTTCTATCAAAATCTAAGAAGACTTCTATATATAATTCTAAATTTTTGAAAATTTCTAAAAAATTTTAAACTAAATATTATTATTAATTATAAAAATTAAATTGGGTTGTTGCCTAGCAATTCGGGGCTTAGAAGCAAATTTTTTATTTATAAATATCAATGATTAATCATTTTGATGCAAAATTTGGTATTGTAATAAAATTAGAATATTGATAACCTATGTATTATACAAACACTTACGTCATGGATTCTGAAATTCAGTTAGACAATCACGACATGTAAAAAATTGCAGAACAACTGCCGATCTAAATTTAGAATATAATCCTAGATTAAATAAAAAAAA